GCTGCACAGGACAGGTGAGTGTCCCTCTGAGGGAGCATCCTGATCACAGCTCTGCGGGACGTTTCTGATTGTGAGGACTTTTTGGAGATGTGAGCTAACAAAGAGCAAACAGAGGACAGGACTGCGCTGCGCTGCATTCAAACAGCAGGCGCTGAAATCAGCCTGGATTTTAGTGTTCTTTATGTAACAGCAAAAAGTTAGAACTGTGAAGATATTACATTAAAAGTAAATCTATCGTTGAAAATGTAAAGTGTAAATAATCCAGTATGTGTGCGTTAAGATGCTGAAGTACAGAGGCAGACGTCTCCCTGTGGGTCTTCTTATATTCTGATTAATCATACAGTAAAATGGACTGTGTGACTTCAGGTGCAGCTAATGATCGTTTTAATGACAGATATGATCATTTTCTATTATAACAGATATTCTGCTGATTGTGTTCTCAGTAGCTTGCTTTGTTCTGACGGTCTCGGAGCGGCCTTAGCTTTGCACTGCGGTGCAACATTCAGGTGGTTTCTTCGTTACAGGCATCATGACGTCGCAGCCCTCATCATGCATCAGTCAATATACAGTTGAGCAGCTCCAGGCAGGTCCACGTGTCACCGTCGGGTGTTTCATCCACGGGAACAACATCAGCACTGGCAGCACTCATACAGCTATTTTTAAAAGACAACCTCTGGATGTGACGCTGAGCACGTGCACTCAACTTCTTTGGTCGACCATGGCGACGCTTGTTCTGAACCTGTGCTGTTAAACTGCTGTATGGTCTTGGCCACTGTGCTGCAGCTCAGTTTAGGCTGTTAGCGATATTCTTAAAGCTATTCTTAAAACCTAGTACATTTTTATGTACAGTAGAGTAACGATTTTTTTTTTATATATCCTCAGAGAATTTCTTTGCCATGATGTGCGATTTTAGACTTCCAGTGACCAGTATGAGAGAGAGCAATAACACCAAATTCAACTGTCATATCTTCAATGTTGTCCCATGAAAAGATGTAACAAAATATTTACAAACATGTGAGGAGTGTACTCAGTTTTTTGTGTTATAATAAATGATGTTTGTCACCAGTCTGCCTCTGGGTGAAGTCGGAGGCTCCTCAAGGATTTTCTTGTGCGCCAGAGGAACACAAACTTCTTCTTTTCTGTCTGACCTCCATCATTTACAAACTGTCATCAATGTCACAAAAACTTGTAGTTTGTGCTTCCACAGCAGCTCTGTCTCTG